ATATATATATATATATATATATATCTCAGAATCTTTTTTTCTTTTTGCTTATTTGAATCTTCCAATTTTTATAGAGTATTCAAATATTATTCATGTTAAAAAAGTTTTAAAAACTATTAGAGTCAAGCTTATAAACTGATCACAAACAAATTTTGAGAATTTTGTATATCTAATCAAAATGGATTACTTTAATTGATCTTAAATATAAAAAAATCATTAAAGGGATCAACAAGTAGCTAATAACATTTCTGCCTTTTTAGTTTAGAGAGCATATTAATTCAACTTTTCAAAATAAAGCATAGGAACTGTACTCATTATGATACAAAAGTAGGATTTATAAGCCTACAAAGTACAACATTTAAATATTACAGTTGGGATCAAGTATCATAAAAATCACACACTTTTACAACATTTTAAACATATAACCCAATTCGTTTGGGTCATATAACTAGTAAATAGCAACTAGCCAAGGTGAGAACTCAGTCTTTCAGGTAACTCTGCTCAGTGCTCTACCTTAGCAGTTGATCTCATGTGTAAGTACAGAGGGACATCCTCTCCATCAATGGTGCCTGGTCCATAGGAAGGAAAATAATCAAATGAAGGGCACTCAAATGTTAAAAGCGACTTCATCAACTACGATATTTGCTTTTAAGAAGAGAAATCACATAGCTCTCTAGATAAAAAAGAGGTAAAAGAAAGTTTTTATTCAATAAAGATACCAAATAATTTAAAAATATAAATCAGTTTCCTTGTTTTGACTAAAAAAAAAAAAAGCAAATGAAAGGCAGAATAATAGATGTGAGGGAGAAGGGAGAAAAAACCCTGAGAGTTACAATGACGTGTCAACTGCCGCGACGGCAAATGACCTGGGAGAGGTGATGGCACTGGGCTCTGCTGCTGCTGCTGAAAGAGAGGTGGGGGCTGTGAAAGAACGTGGACGTGACACCCCAGGGGGCGGAAAGGTTGTGTCTGTGCAGGGAGGGGAGGTGCCATGCAGTTTGGACTTACACAGTCTCATTCATCTATGTTTAGGTCTTCGTATGGGATCTGAGACGAACCATAAGAATCTAAGAGTTTTATGTACTGGTAATAGGACACTCTTTAAAGCTAACTTTACAGTCGAATACTATTTTTCTTCCTCCTTCTTTTTTTTTTTTTCTAAACACAGAAAGTTTTTTAAAGGCATCTGAAGTTCTCAAAATAACAGCCAAACATGAAGCAGGATTAGAATTATTTCTAGTTTTGTGACTTCACAGTACATTTATACTTGATTTACCAGAAATAGAAAAATACTGTCAACCTCTCCTACAAATTATAAAAAACAAACAGACGAAAGACAACTTCAGAGATGCAAAGGTCAAAGTCATACATCCTTGGAGTGACTGTACTTTTTTTAATCCTTTAAATTGACCCACTGGGCCATTTCTAATCAGTTTCAAATCAAGGGCCAACGTTAAACAGATGATACTGCACTACAACTGAAGTGGGAAAAACACACCCAGAAAACACATCAGTGGTGCTGATTTATAGCTCTCAGTACAACTTGCCAAAAATACCTTATGATTTTTTTTTTTTTTAAGCTGGAAAAAAGGAATCCTCCCTCACAAAGCAATTACAGAAGAACAATGTCTCCATTCCAAAGACTAAATGTTAAACTTTTTAAAGTGTTTAATATAATGTTAACGAAATTAATGGGGAAAATGAAATGGAATTCAATTATAGATCAGCAAAGAAAATATTCTTTGTTTATTGTCTGCCTGTGTTAAGAAGAATCAGTACCTATTGCTTATAAATCATTAAAATAAAAAAGCTCAATTAATCCTTATTTTATATGTAAAGGTCTGACAGAAACTAGTCCTATCACCAGACCTTTGCTTCACAAATCGAAGCAATAATAGTTTCAGAAAGCAGTCACACTCTATGAGCAGACAATTGGAGAGATTTAGTAAATCCCACTTTATAGAGCAGAGACTAATCGGAAAACACAAGCCAGTCAAATGTTTCTTATGAACTGTTGACACTATATCAATGCTGAATCAATTGGTGGCATTTACTCTGAGTGACAGAAAAGAAATAAATATTTATATCACATAACCTATATCAATGAACCCAGGCAGAAAGCTATTTCTAACCTGTCAATATTTGATTATCTTGAAGAATCATGTCCCTTTCTTTTAATGATTAATATGAATTCCTTATTAAATCTAAGTGGAGGCTAGTGGAAAGGCAAATCATTATTAATGCTTGAGAGCATAAACCACTAAAATAAAAAACTATGCTCAAGTGTTAAGGTATCGTTAAATGTGACTTACATCTTCCATATCAAGTGGTGTCAGTGTTCAGCCCACAAATTTATTGATGCCACACTGTGCACATTACCTCACTGCAATGCAATCTCACTCACTCTTTAGTTACCTGATAGCACCAAGGACTGAGGAATTAAGAGGAGGAGGTATTTTGAAGACTTCCAAAGGTGGGAGTTCTTTGTATTGTACTGTTCGTTTTCGTGAATAAAAGTAAACATAACAATGGCTAATCCTTAAAAGAAAGGAAATGCCATACTGTTTAATGTGGGATTATCACATTCCCAAGGGAAAGCAATAAACAATCTTTAAGTGTCAAAAATCATTGCCATGACAATCTTCCACCAAAGAGAATCTCCTAACCAAGACCACTAAGATATTTATGGTACTAGGTTCAGAACACTAGGAATATTTCAGAATGTTTATTTTTTGCCCTGGAAATAACTGTTTTTCATTTTTGAAAGAGGAATCTATGACAGGTTATTTTCCATTGCCTGGGTTGAACAAATGTAGTTAAAGCTTCTTAATTTATGTCAATTTTGAAATATATTTTCCAGCTGAAGAACGCTAGTAACTCACACACAAATTACAGTTAGTAACTAGGATGCAAACATGTTGGAGATACATGAATATCGTAGGCTCAATATTTCAGCTTTTAGTCACGTTAACGCCAAGTGCTGGAGACATGTAAGAAATACACCTGCAGAACCATGTATGCTTCCCTCCGGTGGGGAGAAGAGGGAGAACAAGAGGACAATAATGGGCTTGGCAGTGACCAGAAGGAGAGAGAAGGGCAACCAGGTTTTGTTTCATGTTTCCGAAAACATGCAGGGCACTAGGGGAACATGTATGTGGACCTCAATCTAAACAAAACTTTGGCTGCTTAAAGTTAAAAGTACTATTAGATAAATATGAAATATGGGGACCATTAAGATTATACATACAACATACATACATATGTTGCATATACATACAACACCAGATTCTCCTTAGCCGTATATTGAATAGTTAAGGACTAGAATTCACACACTACAGATGATGATCAGGTGTCAAAACCAGATCAACTCACTTTTTCTAACTGTATTCAAGGGATTCCAGGCTAAACAAGTAAGGCTTCCAGAAGTACCACCATACAGTCCTTGTTTTAAGGCACGCACATCTATTAGGCCACAAAGTTACAGGTGATACTAAAGGACAAGCATGAGGACCCAGCTTTGTCTTCTTGACATGCTCCACTACAAGTACCTGATTCATGAAATGCCAATGAGGATTGGAGAGGTCAGCATGTGAAAGCACTGAATAAGCATCTGAGATAATTAAGATTTCAGCCTTCGAAACATGGACGGGAAGTGAACAGCAGTTAAGAAAATCAATAAGAGTCTTTTATTTGCGGTGACACAGATGTCTCAGTCAATAGAGCCTAATAGGCAGGCTTGATCGCGATGGACAGGCGCCTGCCTCCAAGGCTATCAAAGGGCTTCCTCTATAACAAACATTAAAACGCATTTATGTTGCTATTGAAGAATCAAGGACCCTGCAGGTAGCTTAATTTACCAGTGTATGTTTAAAGGCACTATACTATTTCAGATGTGTCAATTTAATTGAATCAAAATTAGTGAGAAATAACTGGGCTGCAGGACTGTTTATCCCTCACTGGCTGGAGTAGGTCATTCTGCTTTAGACGACCAGTCAACTAGGCAAACTGAGGGCTCCTGAAGCCCAGGAATTTTAAATGCCACAGGTCTGCTGTGACTCTGTTCCCCTAAAATGCCAGTGTTAGTTTCAGGACAAAAGAAGGAACTAAGGTGAGAAAGTAGCAGTTTCTCTTTTTCTCCCTAAAGATAAAGAAAGAAACAGTCACCTCAGGATGCAGGGCCATTTCAACAACCCATGGGTTGACACACTTGTTCAGAACTGATTAACTTTTTTTACACCGAGCTGGCAGCAGGGTGTGTGCATGGTACTTCAATCTGCTGGGAGTGAAACCCATTAGCACAGTTTGAAAAACGTGCTGCAAATTGTTCTGCCAATCAAATTAAGCCATGTAATTCATTTATGACAAGAAGAATTTTATAGATCCTTTATCTGCTTATTAAGTTCATGGATACAAAAACTAGACAGCACTAAGTTATTACTATAGTCTTAATATGTAATGACACCTACCTGGCCATTGGCTAATATTTTTTTCAGTTCAGCAGAAGACTTCTTCAAGCTGAAAAGACAAGACATAGTTTTTAATGGCAAGTTCATCAGCACCTCTGAACACCACTGAAAATTCCAGACTAAAACACACTTTTGTTTTAGGTGTAGACATAGACTACACTACTCTTTGCATCCTTCTCCCTACATAAAATATTTTCTAAAGTAACTGGCCAAATGGCAAAGGTATCGATAAGGGACTGAAACCCCGTTAGTAATCTAAAGCAATAAAAAAGCCTACTGTCATAATGAAGCTAGGCTATTGTATGGAGTATTTCAGAGACCTCTTTTTGCTATTAGTTCTGCTGCCTTTGAGTAGCATTACAGTGGTTATTTTATGTGGACTCTGCCATCTGCTAAATGTCAAGTACTTAACAATGCACTCTTAGGATGTTCACAGCAAACAAAGATTACAGAACTTCAAAAGATAAAATAATTTAAGTCCTGATTTTGTACTATAGCTAAGAGTTACAATTCAGCTACCTGGGAAGTAAATGTGTAACAGAAATAAATCCTGGCATTCACTAGCTGTGTGCTCTGGAACAAGATACTTATCCGCTCTGAACCTCAATTACCCCTTTCTATAAAATGGGGGAAATATCAACATTATAGTGTAACCAAGAAAATTAAATATTACAAAAAGCCCTAGCACCTGTTTCTTGCACACAGTAAGTATTAAATCAATTTTAGCTGCCTTCTCTTTCCTTTCCTTTCCTGTAGGTATGAAACCCAGCTTCCATAGGTATGTAAGAAATACAGAAATCTTCTTCTCTGGACATTTATGACTATGTAAACATTTATGTGGATGAGTTTAGGGAAAGCGGCCGAAAGATGCTGTGAAGTCCTTCTAGCTTTATAATGAGTTATACCTGTACACATCCACCCAGTTAGCAGAGTGGTGCATAAAATAATACCTCCTCCCATCAATGTTCTAATTTGAAATTTAAAGCTTGTTAACTCTATCCTTAATCTATCTACTCTAACCCTCTACCCATCTGCCAAATTAACTCTCTTCCCTTTGGTAGTTATCTGTAGATACCTTTCTTCCCACCACACCCTCTCCCAAGACTGGAAGCTCCCTGAGAACAGATACCACATCTTACTCACCTCTCTATATATTCCATTTCCTTCCCGCTCTCGAACCTAGCCCAATGACTTGGCACATACTAAGTGTCTGATAAGTGATAGTCATTATTCTGGTTGTTATTATATGGTAGTAACACACACACACACACACACACACTCATTTGGTACCTTTAATAAGTTATATTTGAGAAAACCTCAGACTTCAAGTTTGACCACACTCACGATTCCAAGTTATAATTATTTTTCTTAATAAATACTTCTTAAACTTCTGCTACAGTCAAATGCAAACTATGGAGCCCTAGTCTCTACTTTCCCCAGATCTTATAAAACATGCCTTCAGCCAATGATTCTAAACTTTAATAACATCCTCCCAAGTCTAAGAATTCATGCACTCAAGTGGCAATTAAGAATACTGCAGAATGGGACTAAAGCTGAAATACATCCCCCCCCAAAATAAACTGACTAAGATCAGTCCAATTGAAAACAAAATATTAGCCTCTACCATGTCCTGAGTGATGACCATGTGCCACGCACTGTGCTAAATGCTATTACTTAGTATCCTGATCTAATCCTCACAGTAACTATCCCGCTGTGGGTATACCCTGTGGGGGAAAGTTATTCCTGATACATAAAGAAAACTAAGGTACAAACCTTGTTCAAAGTCTGTCTGTCTTACACACATACTTTTTTTTTTTCTGGAAAACATTTGGACCCTGATATTGCCATAAATGGTCCCAATTTAATATTTGCAATTATTATAAAAACAGAAATGACCAAACAATGCTCAGGCAATGTTTCTCCACAGATATTCCATTATGTCATGCAACTTAAAATAATAACATTTTGATTCATTACATTTACAAAACACCTTTCATCCAAGAAACAAAATGTGATTCCTTAATACAACTTCATCAATCTTCTTAACACCAGAGGTAGACAGATGGAAAATTTAATCATCCTAATTTTATAGAAGGAGAAAGCCAGAATGTTTAGGAAAGGCCGTGCCTTGGCAGTGGGACGTGAATTCAGTAACTATGGTTTAGGAACACCATGTGGATTAGTAAGCTCAGTTTAATAAACATATCCACCTAAGGCAAAGACCAATTCATGCTTTGAGAGTAACAGAGGAAAGAACTGATTTTATTCATTATGTCAATATCTGACTATGAACTTTGGTAAAAAATTATATTTATATATCCTGGCAATTTCTTTGTGCCCCAGTTTACTCAATGTTTTATTTTTATTTATTTATTTATTGGCTGCATTGGGTCTTTGTTGTTGCACACGTGCTCTCTCTAGTTGTGCCGAGCAAGGCTACTCTTCGTTGTGGTGCGTGGGCTTCTCATTGCAGTGGCTTCTCTTGTTGCGGACCACAGGCTCTATGCACGCAGGCTCAGTAGTTGTGGCTCACGGGCTCTAGAGCGCAGGCGCAGTAGCTGTGGTGCACGGGCATAGTTGCTCCACGGCATGTGGGATCTTCCTGGACCAGGGCTCGAACCCACGTCCCCTGCATTGGCAGGCGGATCTTTTTCTTTTTTTAAACATCTTTATTGGAGTATAATTGCTTTACAATTGTGTGTTAGTTTCTGCTTTATAACAAAGTGAATCAGCTATACATATACATATATCCCCCATATCTCCTCCCTCTTGTGTCTCCCTCCCACCCTCCCTATCCCACACCTCAAGGTGGTCACAAAGCCCCGAGCTGATCTCCCTGTGCTATGCGGCTGCTTCCCACTAGCTACCTATTTTACATTTGGTAGTGTATGTATGTCCATGTCACTCTCTCACTTCGTCCCAGCTTACCCTTCCCCCTCCCCGTGTCCTCAAGTCCATTCTCTACGTCTGCATCTTTATCCTGTCCTACCCTTAGGTTTTTTAGAAAAATAAAATTCATTTTTTTGATTCCATATATATGTGTTAGCATACAGTATTTGTTTTTCTCTTTCTGACTTACTTCTCTCTGTATGACAGACAAAAGGTCCATCCACCTCACTACAAATAACTCAATTTTGTTTCCTTATATGGCTGAGTAATATTCCATTGTATATCTGTGCCACACCTTCTTTATCCATTCATCTGTCAATGGACACTTAGGTTGCTTCCATGTCCTGACTACTATAAACAGTGCTGTAATGAACATTGTGGTACATGATTCTTTTTGAATTATGGTTTTCTCAGGGTATAGGCCCAGTAGTGGGATTGCTGGGTCATATGGTAGTTCTATTTGTAGTTTTTTAAGGAAGCTCCATACTGTTCTCCAGTGGCTGTATCAATTTACATTCCCACCAACAGTGCAAGAGGGTTCCCTCTTCTCCACACCCTTTCCAGCATTTACTGTGTGTAGATTTTTGGATGATGGCCATTCTGACTGGTGTGAGGTGATACCTCATTGTAGTTTTGATTTGCATTTCTCTAATGATTAGTGATGTTGAGCATCCTTTCATGTGTTTGTTGACAATCTGTATATCTTCTTTGGAGAAATATCTATTTAGGTCTTCTGCCTATTTTTGGATTGCGTTGTTTGTTTTCTGATATTGAGCTGCATGAGCTGCTTGTAAATTTTGGAGATTAATCCTTTGTCAGTTGCTTCATTTGCAAATATTTTCTCCCATTCTAGGGTTGTCTTTTCGTCTTGTTTATGGTTTCCTTTCCTGTGCAAAGCTTTTAAGTTTCATTAGGTCCCATTTGTTTTTTGTTTTTGTTTTTTTTGTGGTACTTGGGCCTCTCACTGTTGTGGCTTCTCCCGTGGCGGAGCACAGGCTCTGGACGCGCAGGCTCAGCGGCCATGGTTCATGGGCCCAGCCACTCCACAGCATGTGGGATCTTCCCGGACCGGGGCACAAACCCGTGTCCCCTGCATCGGCAGGTGGACTCTCAACCACTGCGCCACCAGGGAAGCCCAGGTCCCATTTGTTTTTGTTTTTACTCCATTTCTCTAGGAGGTGGGTCAAAAAGGAGCTTGCTGTGATTTATGTCATGGAGTGTTCTTCCTATGTTTTCCTCTAAGAGTTTTATACTGTCTGGCCTTACATTTAGGTCTTTAATCCATTTTGAGTTTATTTTTGTGTATGGTGTTAGGGAGCGTTTTAATTTCATTCTTTTACATGTAGCTGTCCAGTCTTCCCAGCACCACTTATTGAAGAAGCTGTCTTTTCTCCATTGTATATTCTTGCCTCCTTTATCAAAGATAAGGTGACCATATGTGCGTGGGTTTATCTCTGGGCTTTCTATCCTGTTCCATTGATCTATATTTCTGTTTTTGTGCCAGTACCATACAGTCTTGATTACTGTAGCTTTGTAGTATAGTCTGAAGTCTGGTAGCCTGATTCCTCTAGCTCCATTTTTCTTTCTCAAGATTGCTTTGGCTATTCGGGGTCTTTTGTGTTTCCATACGAACTGTGAAATTTTTTGTTCTAGTTCTATGAAAAGTGCCATTGGTAGTTTGATAGGGATTGCACTTAATCTGTAGATTGCTTTGGGTACTAGAGTAATTTTCACAATGTTGATTCTTCCAATCCAAGAATGTGGTACATCTCTCCATCTGTTGTATCACCTTTAATTTCTTTCATCAGTGTCTTAGTTTTCTGCATAAAGGTCTTTTTTCTCCTTAGGTAGGTTTATTCCTACCTATTTTATTCTTTTTGTTGCAATGGTAAATGGGAGTGTTTCCTTAATTTCTCTTTCAGATTTTTCATCATTAGTGTATAGGAATGCAAGAGATTTCTGTGCATTAATTTTGTATCCTGCTACTTTACCAAATTCATTGATTAGCTCTAGTAGTTTTCTGGTAGCATCTTTAGGATTTGGCAGGTGGATTCTTAACCACTGCGCCACCAGGGAAGTCCCTCAATGTTTTATTTATCTGCATGGTCACAGTGACTTGAACTATCCAAAAATCACTTTTAAAAACACTTTAAAATTTTAATGTGATATAAATGACATTTTAAGGGGACACTGAGATACCCAAAGAAGAGTAAAAGGGTGAGGGGACCAGAAATAATGTTGTATCAGAAAAGCTGAATGAGTTTGGAGAATTTAATTCAGAGACAAGATTTAAAGGGAATATAAATTCATTTGTCCACTCATTTATTCAGGAATTACCGACTATCACCTATGTGCCAAGCATCCTGCTGGGAACTGAGGATTCAACAATGAATACATCTGAGTAGTATCCCATTTATATATGTACCATATCTTCTTTATCCATTCAAAACCGTAATGGAAAAAAATATATAAAAGAATATATATATATGTATACATATATATATCTAACTGAATCACTTTGCTGTACAACAGAAATTAACCCATTGTAAATCAACTATACTTCAATAAAATAAAATAAACAATGAATATGCTACAGTCACTGCCCTCAAAGAGTACAGAATCTATTGGGGGACAGGAGTGATTATAATACAATGTGCTAACCACTACAGTAAAAGCAAGCACAGGGAGATATTGGGAATTCATAGAAGGAGTACCTGGCGTAGACTGGGAGGTGGGCAATAATCAGGAACAGTTTTCAGAAGAAGATAACATCTTTGTTCATCAAAGATGACGAAGGTTAGCCGGAATGAAGGCAAAGAAGGGAATGGATTAAAAGAAGAAAGCAGGAAAGAGGCAGCAGTGGATGTGAAGGCCCAGTAGTGAGACGAAATGTGATCCATTAAGGGGACCATGTATTCATCAGCAAAGCTGAACCATCAGTTGGAAGGGGGGAGTGGCAGGCTAGGGGGCTAGAGTGAGCAGAGGACCCACACATGGCAGGCCATGGTTCACCTGCTGTGGAGGGTACAGTTTGTCCTGAAGCTTGTGAGGAGCAGTAAAGGGGGGAATGATGGGTTCAGAACATGCACTAGCAAGACCACTCTGGCTGCAGTGTGGAGGAGGGACTGCAATGGGGCAACACGGGAGGTTATAGCAGTAATCTAGGGAGCCTGATCTACCTTTTCAACAACAGAGATGCTGGCAAGTAGACAGACTCCACAGTGATTCAGAAGGTAGAACCTATAAATGTAGGGACTGACTGGATGTGGGGTTGAGGGAGACCCAGGAAGCAGTGAATGATGCCTGGTGGGTCCCCTAGAGTTAGCATCCGGGTGGACGTGGGAGAATTTACTGAGACAGGAAACCCAGGAGAAGAAGTATGTTTGGAGGGAAGATGACTAGTAGAGCTATTACCTAGAAGAGGGAACAGCCCTGTTCTGAGGGCTAAACTCCATCTTTACGAGTGGGTGCTAAAGGGACACAAATCTCAGCTCACAAAAAGAACGTTCTGAGACATAGCTACATGAACATGGAACGGGTGCCTCAGCCAATAAAGTGCATTCCTGCCACAGGGCTGTTCAGGAAGAGCCTGGATGACCATCTGGCAAGGAGTGGGGAGTCGGGCACCTAAGGAGAGCAGCATTAGATGGGGGCCTCTCCTTCTCATGCTTCACACCACAGGCAAGAGTCTTCTATAAACAACGAGCTGGCCATGGCACTCTGTTGAAAGTTGTCTAACAGCTTGCCAACACACTGAGGGGAAAGCTCAAACACCAGGCCCCAGGAGCCAGCTCCTGTCACCTCCTTTTCTCCTATTACTCCTACTGTTCTCCCCACCTTTCCATTCCCTCCCCCAGCCCAGCACCCCTCCCTGGGCTCCAGCCTAACTGGCCTTCTTCTGAACACATGGAGCTCCTTTTCCACCCAAGGGCCTTCACTTACTCTCCCCACCCTCTGAAATGCCCTTCTCTGGCTCTTGATGTGGCTAGGTATTTCTCATCCTTCAGGCCCAAGTGGAATGCCACTCTCCTCTGGGCACCCCGTCCAAATCTAAACACAATCCTGCCCAGTGTTCTCTCACTTCAAAATCTGCTTGTTTCCTTCATAACACTAATTATAAAGTATAATTATTTGTATACTGGGGGGAGGTGGTCTGTATGCCTATGAGACAGCGAGCTCCAGAGGATAAGGACCACATTGTATTCCTAGTGGGTAGGACAGCACTGAATAAATAGGAGGCATTCGATAAATACTTTTGATTAGTTATCAATATGGGGCACAGAACATGGCCAACCTAGGGTGGCATATTAAAATCACCTGTAGGACTTTTTCAAACTGCATTCCTCCCATAACAAAAATCACTTCTGGAGCAAACTACCATTACTATTTGGGAGGCTGTCATATCCCTAAAGGAAGATGCTGGAACAAATGGCTGAGAACCACTAGATCAGATAGTCTCTTTCCAACCCAAAGATGTTATAATACTCTGTGAATATAAATGATAGTTTTTAAAAAGCCAAGCTAATTCACTTTGGTTTTGGTTAAAACCAAATCTGAGAGAGTTGAAAAGTTATCCTGCTGCTTCTCTGCCTTACTGTCTTTTTCAACTCCATCCTGCTTTTTATACCATGATGAACTTTGACCTAAAACACCAGGAAAAGTCCTTGTTTTCACTCAAGGCTAATAGTCAGTCTGTCTGAATAACATTTTTTCTAGAAGTAGTGGTAATAATTAGAGGCCCTGCCCTCTTCGAGCTGAATGTAGCAAATGACCCTCAGTCCCCATGTCTCTACTCGGCGGACATGGCTCTCATGCCCAACAAGCATGAAAAGAGAAGCCTCAGAGCATCGCCTGGCAGGGCCAAGCACTTGGATGAGGACTAAAAGACCTACCCCTCAGGACCACAAGACAGGTGATCCACTGGTGAATAACCAGTGGATGTATTTTAATACAGAATAAATTGTTTAAGAAGGAAACACACTCTAAGAGTAGTGTGTTCATAGCAGGAAAGCTGTGCGTAAGTTATACTGACACTATAATAAAGCAATCAAGGAAGTGACTTTTGGGGAGGGGACAGGAGAGTAGAGAGAGAGTCAGAAGGAGAGACTTTAAATTACCTGCAGTAAAGCCCAGTGGCAAAAGAACCAAGACACTGGGTGGAGGGGGTAAGGAGGGGCACGGAAGGGAAAGTAGAAGCCTAAGCTACATCTCAGCAGATAAGGGCTGTGCAAACACTGACTACTGCCCTAAACCCAGAAAGACCTGGGCACACAATGGAAGCGTGATCCGGCTCAATGATGGCTTTTCAGTCACCAGTGTGAATACATACACACAGATCAATCACCTTCAAGTGTCATCTTCAAGTACAGTAATAAGATGTTAACCAGCTGAATAACTGAGTATGTAACAAATATGATCTAGAATTCTTTCAGCTTAAGCAGGTCCTTCTACTTGAGAACCTTAATCTTCTGGAAGTAAGTTCTCAGGTCTGTCAGAAGAACACTTTGAAGAGGCTCAAGTCTTTAGTATCCCTCCCAGTATGGGACAATGTTAGCATGAATTAATGAAAATTATCTTCCTTCTGTAATAGCTCAATCTCTTGTGCAGCAAAGATACATAAATGGACAACTTGGCTGGTCAATTTAAATTTCACCACATTACTCTTTCCTTGCCTCCTTCTGGGAAAGATATCAGTGAAGCATGACACTGTCAAAAGATGGACACGCGAGACAAAAATAATAAGCATTATACAAACCAGATCATCAAAGCATGGAAACAGTCAAAGGCACTGAATCTTCTGTTTCTGCATAATCTGGAGACTGAAGGAAAACCATTCCACAGACCAAAATAAATAGTTCAACATGTCTAATTTTATCTTTCTCTATGAGGTCCTTTCTTTTCAGTCAATACATAGCTAGGGTTACTTAACTGGTCAGATTTCTTCTTAGCCACATACACACTTTTGAGGTCTTATAAAAAAAAAGAGATGTCATCCCACAAGCCTCTTCTTCACTCCCAACTATGTAGATATTCACGCTCAGAGGCACATGTCACTCGCTCGCTCTCACCTATTGCTTGGAAGTGAATCTGAGACTGCTGGGCTGCTGTGTTGAGAGGATCCAGCTCGGGTATTCACCTACAAGTAAAGAAAGGATCTTGATCAGTCTGTGTTCTGAGGACACAGTTCTAATTAACCTGTAATTTGCCACAAATTTCTCATTTCACTATGAAGGTTAATTAGCTTTTTACTAGACAGACCCATGGTTGGAGTCTATTCAGTATATAGGTTATAAAAACTGTACAACCTGTATATTACATAATACTTTGTTCCTGTCATTATTCAAATACTTAAATAGTGCTGAAAAAGCGAGAGATAAACTGGGGACATTTTCAATTCACTGTCTAGAATTGAAGTCAATTCTAGTGAAAAAATTCAGTTCACTGTTTCTTTTTGTTTTATATAAAAAACAGTATGTTCAAAAAAGTATATTAAGAATACATCCAAGGGTTAGTAGTGAACCTCACGATATCATACCCCTTCAGCTTTAAAACCAGGCAGAATATTGCAGAATGTTTCTTATTCACTGAAAAATGAGGTCCAAGTAATTAATTATAAAACGCTTGAGTCTAATACAATAGCCAGTTTTTCTTTTAAATGTAAAGCCTTAAGCAGAAATCCAGAATTCAAAATATGCAGAACAATGAAAGGACATTAAATAGATATATGTTTCTAGCATAAACATGTCAAAAGAAGAGGGGGGTATTCTGTGTGCAATATGCTTATGTGCTTAATTAATCACTGAAATGAAGTCTATATTTTTACTCAAGTAATTCTTTGTGGAGACCAGTACCCAGGATCATCCTGAAGAAATAGACCAACAAAAGAATTCCAAATAGTAATTTTTTTTAAATACAGCATCAAAACCCCAATATGTACACATATTGAACAAATACTAATGAATCCCCCTCCACAACCCATTTAAAAAAAAAAAAAAAAGGAAGGCTTGTCAGAGCTTGAGAAAGTGCAGTTTTATTTGACATTTCAATAAGTGGAACACAGCATTACAAATCCATCTAACTTTACTGAAACAATTATTGAAATTCGTACCTTCAGGCCATGTATGTTCCGTTCCCCAGGAGGCTTGCAGGCTGAAACAGTAATTGACTAAATTGTAGAACACATCAGGGCCATTTACAAATTTGCTCAAAATGAATCGTTTAAAAAGAAATGAGGGTGACACCAAAATTAGCAGAGAGAAATGATTGAAAAGTGGCTCCCAAGACCCAAAGTGGGAATTATGAACCAGGGTTTTTAACTTGCAGGAGTGAGCATTTATAAATGCAAAGAGCTTTCTGACACCACCTCATATAAATTCCAATTTCTGCTTAAAACATATAAAAATCAAGTTAACTGAGCTAAAATGATTAGATTCCTTTCATAATTCAAATTTCTGCCATCATCTTTCCTCACTCTATTACATTGTATATCTGTTATCACTTAATACTACAATGAAAATAGCTGGGGTTTTTGGAGGGGAGTGGGAGGAGAATCTTTTAACGCCAAAACAATTGCTAGAGATTCTAAGATGAAATATTTAAGTTTGAACATCAGTTTGCAAAGCAGTAAGCAGTCGAATTTGTTAGAATACAGATATACCATTAATTTCATGACATTTCTTGCAAATCTTGACATTTGCTAACATTTAAGTCTAAACATAAAGCAGTACCAGCGAAAATAATATTAATTTCCTGACACCATCTTGAGTTACAGGTTAGTACTTTTCCAATTCAGCAAATGCTTCTTCATCAAATGTTAAAAAAAATAAAGTGCTTCCTGCCCATGTTATAGGCTGCTTCCATCTGAAAACTACAGTGTCCTACATATTATATGTTAAGGGGCCGTCAATTTTGATTGATTGTTTGGGAAAGGATGAATTTGATTTTTTTTTTTTTTTTTTTTGCTCCTTTCTCAGATGTACATGTATTTTCCTCTGTTTCTGACAAGAAATCGAGCTGTTTAATAAGAAGAAGATGTGGCTAATAATTACAAAGCACATCAGTTGCTTTAGGTTTGTGTATTTCAAATATATTCAAAGTCATTATGTTATTTTCCTTAAAAAAAAATCTAAACCTCAATAAAGGATTTTTATTTGTTTTTCTAAAATACGTTAAAATTAAGACTCCAAATCCTCTTTCCTAAAGATGGAAATTAACTTTTTGAACAAAACAACAGTCACATACATCTGATGCTTGGTCCTTTAGGGACCATTAATACTTCCTAAAACAACACTTCAGAGCATTTCCTCTGAAGTAGCCAGTGCATTATAAACTTCATTTAGTAAGAAAGTGGCTAACTAAGGAATTAGAGACAGGCATCAACTCTTACCTCCTACCTTAACATCTGCCTCGCTCCTCAACTGGCTTCTTAAATCTTTATGACTGGAAATCTAAACAGTTCTCAAGGGACTTCCCTGGTGGCACAGTGGTTAAGAATCCACCTGCCAATGCACGAGACACGGGTTCGAGCCCTAATCCTGGAAGATCCCAGATGCCGCAGAGCAGCTGAGCCCGGGTGCCACAACTACTGAGCCTGCACTCTAGAGCCCGCGTGCCACAACTACTGAAGCCCATGTGCCTAGAGGCTGTGCTCTGCAACAAGAGAAGCCACCGCAATGAGAAGCCAGCGCACCGCAACAAAGAGTAGCCCCCACTCACCACAAGAGAAAGCCCGCGCGCAGCAACGAAGACCCAATACAGCCAAAAATTAATTAATTAAAAAATAAAATAAAAAGTAAACAGTATTCAAAAAAACCCAGTAGCCTCATATTTCCTAAAGCTGTGGAGTCAGAAGTTACTGTAAAGCTAGTGAATTTTCATACTTATTAATAGTTAACATATCTTATAACTACAAAGAGAATTAGCCCTGAGCTGGGAGCTACTATCCAATGCAATTGTGCCACTTGGAATGAGAAGACCTGATGTTTAGAAGAGAATTGTTTTCTCCTGTCCTCTGATTTGCTCAGTCTAGAGATTCTTTTTCACATGGGGCCTGACCACAGAATCTAAGAATCTAAGGTCTGAGAGCCTCTAACCAACTCAGTAGACCCAGGCAATATACCCAATGTCTATACTCTAACTGTAAAAATCTGTATAACCTCTAAATTTATATAAATCTTACATAAAATTTTATATATATTTAGAGATTTATGTAAACTTATATGAAAAATAAAATTGCATAAAATCTATACTTTGTGTAGATAAATAAACAAAAAGCAAAAAACTGTAGAAAACTAAAGACATAGAACAGTATGCACAACACCACACAGATAGGGAGACTGAGTCTCATATTTAAAAAAATTTAAATTTGGCGTGGAACAATTTATTGGAGACTGATAGGTTCTGTCCTAGGACTACATGTGACACTCAAATGTCACATATTTTCTTTAAGAATCTCCTCCCTACAATATACTCTTCTCCACACTCCTACCAAGCCCTCCGAACTACCCCCATGCACACTCTACTAATATTTTAACCTACATAAGAGCATATAGCCCTTCTACTCTAAGCAAATTACAACTCAAACAAAATTCTTATTCAAAGGGTATATTAACCACTTAAAAATTGTGACTCTGAAGTTACTTAACATCTCTGAACCTTAATATTCTCAAGTATAAAATGGAAGCAATAATAATAGGCATGACTGTTGGGAGAACTAGAAATGGTGACACACAAAGCAATATTAGTGTCTGAACAGAGAAGATGGCTAAAAATGGCTGTTATTATCATGGGAGGGGCACAATGATATGGACAGGGACACTGACAGGGGCTGTTCACAAGATAAAAGAAAACAAACAGAACTTAGAAAGATTCTGGATGAAGAGAAGTAAATACTTACTGGAAAAAAAGAAAAAATGAAGGCCCTCAGCATTAGAATTATAATTCTCCAGGATACTTTCTGGGGTTTGCTACAAAAGAGCTATAAAGTCATCCAGTAGGAAAGCAATGAATGGAAATTTCCAGCTGGTAAAAAAAATACTCCTTGTGGAGAAACAATTTTGAAACTTGCCCAAATTCTCTGGTTATTGAAAATATTAAGAAATAATCTGCACCCTGTTCTTGGCTTAATACACAGAAATGGCAACATTTTCTTTCTTTTTTTTTTGCTGTACGCGGGCCTCTCACTGTTGTGGCCTCTCCCGTTGCGGAGCACAGGCTCCAGACGCGCAGGCTCAGCGGCCATGGCTCACGGGCCCAGCCGCTCCGCGGCATGTGGGATCTTCCTGGACCGGGGCACGAACCCGTGTCCCCTGCATCGGCAGGCGGACTCTCAACCACTGCGCCACCAGCGAAGCCCTCTTTTTTTTAGTTTTTAGTCTTCAGGTGCAACAGAACTGAAATAATCATAATCTTGTTTCAGACACGCTATCAACGGCCCAATTTTACTTACTTAGGTCTTTAATTATTAATAATGTACTAAATACTCCTAATGCCACTGCCCATGTTAATGCTAGAAGAACAGCATTACTCTTGAACCCAGATCTTCTCATGTGCTGGAGACTATCAGTGCAAAGAGGAGTCTACTGGTTAATTGAGCTACTCAAACTTCAGAGAGTTACAGGTAATGAAAGTCTAGAATGCTTAATTGGAAAACCCATACCATGATTATTTGTACAGTATCAGTTAACGAAGGTAAGTTTAACTTTTAATTATTTCAATTAAGCTATTTCTAGAAGACTTACTTAGAGAATTTTCTTATCTGTTCCATCAGTTAGAAAACACAGATTTCCAAGTGGGGCAATGTATAATGGGTGAAAGACAATGGTTTATATAATTAAACTGTTCTTTTTCACCATTATTCAAACTTTCAGGGAACATTTATATAGAGCTGAGCAATCATATCTGATACAAGGCTAGTACTATCAAACCTAAAGGGAAAAACAAATGATTTAACCAGGTGATTCACCAAGGGTCACTCTCATTAGCTCATATTTTTGGAAACTTAACAATCGAATTCCTATTTATGAGGATTTTCAATTATTTAGAAAATGTCTCCCCCCAAAATCAAGCACCAAACATTCCACCAAAATATCGCTCCTAAAACCCCCCAGTAAATCTTGGTTTCTGCACTAGCTGAAAGCTTTCTACTCAATAGCAGCTCTGGCTACCATCATGAGCCACAATTTACAAATATCCAAAATTAAAGCCATTCATTTGCCTTGGTTTAGAAACCATGTGGACCCCCAAAGAGTTCTTTAAGCGAATATAAGTATGTACTTCAAAAACGAAAACCAATCTAGCTAGTTTAATTTACTCTAGTAAATTAGATATTCTATCTGCCATAACTATAATACAGCCTGCAATCCCCACGATAATGAATACTTCTTTTGTTTTTTCAAATTAAGAGCTAAACATCATGTTATGTGCATTTAAACCTTTGGAAAACATAACTGTTGATGAAACAGTTTACTGAAATAATCATTGTTGATTAGAATTTGTTCAACATTACCTCTTGGAAATATCTGCAGAGGCTCTATTAACTGTCCATTTACTTGCTGTTCCATTACTGTGGAATAATACTGCAAAGAGATTATAGAAAGAGATTACTCAGTAATGTATGAATACTGGAACAGACACTTATGGGTTGTTTAATTCATAGTACTTTTGTAAACTACTGGTATATACATATCAACCTCGAGAATTCTTTTTCCCTATTTGCACATCAATATGACTACAGTGAATACTCAGGACTAAAGGTCCAGTATAGTGTTATCCTCCATATTGTCATTTATCTTTAAGAGTAAAAAATGTTGATTAAGATTTTACGTTAGTATCTGATCTCTAGAAATGTTCTGAAAATGACATATACTAAAAATGACACAAGAACTTCCCTGGCGGTCCAATGGTTAAGACTTCGCCTTCCAATGCAGGGGGTGCAGGTTCGATCCCTGGTTGGGGAGCTAAGATCCCACATGCCTCATGGCCAAAAAACCAAAACATAAAACAAAAACGGTCCATGGGGGCTTCCCTGGTGGCGCAGTGGTTGAGAGTCCGCCTGCTGACGCAGGGGACACGGGTTCATGCCCCGGTCCAGGAGGATCCCACATGCCGCGGAGCGGCTGGGCCCGTGAGCCATGGCCGCTGAGCCTGCGCGTCCGGAGCCTATGCTCTGCAACAGAAGAGGCCACAACAGTGAGAGCCCCGCGTACCGCAAAAAAAACAAAAACGGTCCATGTTTAAAAAAAAAAAAAGAATCTTATAAAAAATAATTTTTAAATAAATTAAAATGACACAAAAAGCATTTTAGTAGAAATTTCTCAAACTGCCTTTTGTTCTTTTTCCCTGGATTTTACAAAGCAAAATGGAGACACCTCACATTTAGCTTGGACCTATACGCCAGTCAGTTAATCAAACATTATTCATATTTGTGTATAAAATGTACAGATAATGGAAATCAAAATCACAGAGACTGTGGAACAAGGAAACAAGATATGATCCATCCAAAGATGACAGGATTAATATGATAAAAAGATAGCCCAGTTTCAAGCAAACATACTTTTCACGTTTTAGTCTTCTAAATACTTTAGTATAGATCAAATTTCACTTTAAAAATCTGGGCATGAAAAATTAAGTTCCAAGTTCAAAAAGCTTTCATACTCCATCATAAACAAGTTCATTCAGTAGGCTGTATTACGGTCTATCCCCATTTTCTTTAATATCCTAATTGGTGAGCATATGTCCACCTAACTTGCATGTGGTTTCTATGCCCTAACTTTTTTTTTTTTTTTTTTTGGCTGCACCACATGTCATGCGGGATCTTAGTTCCCTGACCAGGGATTGAACCCACGCCCCCTGCATTGGAAGCACGGAGTCTTAACCACTGTACGGCCAGGGAAGTCCTTGTCCTAACTTTTTTTTAACACTTGACAAACAACAGTGATGTTCTTGGTGGAAAATATCAACGATGAAAACCACTGATTTTGTGTTGTGAGGGGCTGTCACAGAGCAGAATTCCCCTTTAATACTTGTTGTTTCTACATTAAAAAACATAAGCACATTTTCTACTTAACTATCATATTTTCAGAAAATTCCTCCTTGATAATCATTATTTGCTGACATTCTTTAAAAGTTTCTTTCTAAAAAATATGTACATATATCTTTCTATTGCTTTTATGTAATAATTAAAATTATTACAAGATCAAGTTTATTTTCCCTTATAAATAAAGGGGAGTTATAAAATTCTACATCATCTTTAGAATCACAAGTTAACAAGCCTAAGGCTCTTCGCCCTAAAAACGAAGAGAAAGTGTATTTTTGATGGCTATGGACTGATATAAGTATACCCTGCCTTCTGAGGACATTCAAACTGTATAGGAAACTGATCCTCTCCTTCTATAGATGTAAAAACTTATACACATAAAGCATAAATATGTGTGATACGCTCTCTGGAATACATACTAAGGCAAATGTCTTTCAGGAAACTATATTCCTTAAAATCACAGAAATATAGTGCTCGCCATTACTCAAGCAGTGATGACAAGTAAATGAAATATCAATCATGTAGGCTGTCAACCTTTTGGGACAGCAATAACTGTTAACAAGTAGTCTGGAAAAATTGTCCGAAAATGACTTGTCCTCAGCACACAAGTATTTGAGGTTTCATGGAAAATTAAGATGCCAGTGGCTATTTGGAACATTGCTCAGGTATTCTTTTTAATGGAAAATTTGCCAGTTATTGATCCACAGCATGTACCCTCTTGCTTCTGGAAGGCTGCAAGCAACTTTCCAATCAGTGGCTGTCAAAAAAATTACTGCCTTTTTATACTGATTCAAGACAACAGCAGTGGTGGTGTTCTCCTATAGTTAATGCTTTTCTTTAATTAACTGCTATGTACAATAGGTTAGTAATTTCAGTTACTACTTTACCACAATCCTAGAAATCAAAACAAATAAAATATCCTTATGCTTTATCTAACAAATTATTTACAGAGTTGTGTGAAACTGGCGCTTGGGGTCAAGTTTGAAAACAAATAACCTCAAATGTAAAGGGTCAGAACAGGTGCAAGGCATTTTTTTCCTACTATAAAACCTTGCATGCATGAAATTGACCTGTTTTCCAACTTTATTTATTTACCTCACAAAATATATAAATAAAAATGGTTTCCCTTTCATTTCAAATCAACTGGGAAACTATATATAGTTTTATAATCATTGGAGGAACTTTTTAGCAATCTAAAGACATCTCTTTGTACAGTAATTAACACAGCCACGGTAATGATATTAAGTATGCCACTTGACAGTTTCTCCAAAGCAAGTAGCTAGGATTTGTTTTTTGTTTTGTACAGTTTTTCCAAATCCTAGAAACATTTTCTTCTGCTAAAATACTGGGTTTGATCTGTGTTTGTATTATCAGAGAATTTTGTGTTTCACACACCAAAGTAATTCACCATCAAGGACAAACTATAAAGGGTGGTAATTAAACCCATGGTATGGGCCCACTCTAGGCAACCGACCTCTCAGGAGTGGGCCTGGTGAGGGTCGGGGGGCCATCAAGGAGGCACTAGGCCTAGGAGCTCAGGCCACTGCTCACAAGGCATTCCCTAAGAAACAAGAATAAAATGTGGGCCATGTGCAGTACCTCCTGGCACAGAGCAGTCCTGATGAGCCACAAGGCCTGTGCTGCCCAGTGAGATGAGCAAGGCACTTAGAGGAGTTACAGGCTCAAACCCTGGGGTCTCAGTACTGGCCACTTCTAGCTGATGATCTCAGTGAAGAAATGCTCACCTCACCTCAGTTTACTCAGCTGTAAAATGAAGGTGGTATGTACCCACAGGATTACTGTGAAACTCACATGAGAAAACATGAGAACACTTAATAAGCTGCAAAGCAAGTTCTTTTTGGATCTTCATTCTCTCTCAGGGTTTTATACATTCTCCCTTTAAGGGGATCTTTCCAATTTTGCTCTAAATACTGATAAAATAAGCAATAATGCCAAAGACAAGGCTTCCACTAGATAAAAACAAAATGCAAAGACAACCAACCAAACCAAACCAAAATCTAAATCTTTTACGCCAATATACTTAATATGGCTTGGACAGAAAAGTAACAAAGTGACCATGATAACGTTAATGGAGCCATAATTTGACATTATCCAAAAAGCTTCTTAGCTTAATCTCTATAATCTTATCCTGGCTTTCATTACCCCTAACACAAAGTCCTGCACACAGTAGGTGTTTGACAAATATTTACCGATTGAAATGGAGTCCAATCCCGATTCTGCCACTTATTAACCTGTATAGTCTTCAGGAAGTCATTTAACCTCACTGAACCTGAGTTTCCTCTGAATGAGGGTAAAGATACCAACTCTATTACATAGGGTTACTGTGAAGCTCAAAATTAAACTGCAGCAATAGAATTAGTGAAGGCATTTGTAAACTGTAATGATTAGTAGTTGAGGAATTTAAAAGTGAACCTCCTAGTAGTGAAACAATATTAAGCACAGCACTTTCTGAGTAGAAGTGTTACGGAATTTAAAAACACAAAAATGGTTATGTATAACAAGTACAAACCGAACACGTCTGCACTCAAACTGAACACGTCAGCAGCAGTTATAAAACATATTTTCTCTGGTATCCCTTGTAGAATCCATTACATGCAGTAATTGCAGCAATAATCAATAAGCTAACTGAGTAAAAGATTAATCAGTTTTGTGATTGCTAATGGAATCTCCAGTACCAGACTCAGATTAGTTTCAGAGTCCCTCTGAGATGTTCTTCAAAATCCTTAAACAATTTTAATAAGGATGTGACAAAGTTTAACATAGTTATCCAAATATCTAATTAATTTGAAACAGAGGGCCAGATTGAACAAGGGGATAGCAAGTACAATTTTTGGCTTTGTTCTGTTTGCAAGTTTATCATACAGTGTTCCTATTTGTTATGACCCTAATTCTAACAGCACAACTCAATCAATAATTACATTTTTTTCTTCATGGAAATCTGCCATATAAAAACTTGAATTCCAAAACAGCACAGTTAAACTTTACAAGGCACAAGTTCTCTACCGAAAGGAGAGAAAACAGTGAGAGAGAGATACACAGAAACAACTATCACTTGTTGAATACCTACTGTGTGTTAGGCTCAACACTGAAACCGAGTCCCCCTAAACCCCCTGCCAAGTTTATGATTAACGTCTCCATCCAAAATTTTATTCCCTTTCTTGTCCCGCCCCCATTCCCCTCAGGATTGAGGAGTATCAAAGAAAAGGGGGGATTAAAACCAAGCAGGACCCTTCGGGGCCATCCTAGGTACAAAAAAGCCCCTCCACATCCCCCGTTTCTTGTTTGTAGCAAAAGGCTTTAGTCTCCTAGGCTTCCCTGAGTTCCAAAGAGCAGACTCAAGCAGCTAACTATTAGGACAACAGAGTCACAGGCCTCCTAGTGCCTCCTCAGGGGATACAGATAACAATCTGATGCAAATCTTTGAATTGTTCTATAGAAACTAAGACTCCCACCCAGGTGGAGAGAGGATGGTGACTACATGCTGACCACAAGCACTAGACCCCAGACTGGTTGGAACCA